CGTAATAGTTAACGAGTAATTAATTATTAAAAATCGTTGTCTTAGGCCGGCCTACCGCCCAATTCGAGCGCGTGGCGAGATGTGCGCATAGCAATATCGATCGCCGGGCGGTCACATCTTGCCACGCGCTCGAATTGGGCGGTAAGCCGGCCTAAGACAACGATTTTTAATAATTAATTACTCGTTAACTGTTACGAAAATTGCAAAATGGTACAGGACTTTTCCGTTCATCTCGATCCGTTCTACCTTCTCAAAAATTTTGTCGGATATGGAAAGACTCACCCTGTATAGAATTCTCTTTAAGTTGCCAGTAATAAATAACAATTAAGCTTTTTAGTCGACATTAACCGGCCAGTGTTTAAATACAGAAAATTTATTGCGGAAAATATTACCTCAACCAGGATTTGAACATGGACTTCCCTACTCTCTAGGCGGGCGTCTCACCAATTCGGCAATAATTCCACAAAACTAAAAAATATAACTGCCAGAATCTAAGAAATTCTACGCAAATTTTAAGTGTTATAAAAATCAACATAAAAATGCGAGAACGCTTGTTAATTTTTGTAATATTCTACAAGTAAGCGGACGCTTTCAATTCTTTAAAAGATTTTGTTGTTTCTCAAAGTTTTAAAACTAGTAAAGTTTTGTACTAATTTTTACAAAATTGTACATTTTCATCAAATACTACTTGCAATAACTTCTTGATTTCAGAACATTGTAATTTGTGGTACTATTTCGTAGATATTTGTACAAAGAAATTAATGTTTCAACGAAGATATAAAAATTTCAATTTTACGTCAATTTTTGCAGTTACTTGTAGAAATTTTTTCCGCCAGGACACTGAAGCATGCGGTGATATTAGTCGCAATTACAGTATAAAGATATCTTGGTGTCTATTTTTCGGCTTTAAACTACATGCCGATTCGGATTGTCGGCAGTACATAAAACGCGATTTTTACGATTTTCAATTTAAACAAATTAGTTCGAGCCCAGCCACCACAGTGCTCACAAGTACACATATATTTTATAACTTGACTCTGTCATATTCGACGACGATTACTGACTTAGGTGTGTTGCTGAACCGTTAACTATTTAACTAAATCCTATTTATTTATTTATTCATTTATTAACCTACGTTGTATTTAATAACCTACATTGTTCATAATTGCGTTGATGTTGTTGATTTGCAGTATCACTCGAAAAGGACCCAAAAGAATAGGGTTGAAACGTTGTGTAATAAACTAATTAAATAACTAGCCAGTTGGGTTGACTACAAGTTTCCCGGCTCAATTTTCAATTTTAAGTCGAAAAATAGACGCGAAGATATCATCTGTTATCGCGACAAATATTACCACATGCCTCAGTGGTCGAGTTGGTGAGACGCCCGCCTAGAGAGTAGGGAAGTCCAGGTTCAAACCCTGGCTTAAGTAATATTTCTCGCAATAAATTTTCTGTATTAAAACACTGGCTGGTCAATGTCGGCTAAAAGCTTGATTATGATCCAACAATAAAGAAAATAAAAAAAAAGACGGAGAAGAGTACATAAAGAGTGGACAAATAATGGAGCAACGCTCGTTTAGAATTGCAAATCTGAGACACTAAACGAAAGTTGAACGAAAAAGTGTCATTGTGTCACGCGGGACGCAACGCAAAAACGTCGCTCGTTCGAGCAGAGAAAGTTTGTACGCGCTATCCGGGTGACGGGTTCCTTAGTCAAACGTTAATAAAGTAAATCTTTTACACGAGCCATGCATTCTCTATAAGGGTACAGGGTAATATATCCAGAGAAGAAGCGAGATTGGACAGAGGTACATTATTGCCTCGAACATTCATGCATTCACGTGCACGGGAGGGGATCGCATAGGTACAGAACGTGTTTCTTGAAACGCAAGCCAATCTCCTCGGATGGCACTCTCTACGGTAGACGTTAACGTTAACTCTTAAATGTGCGACAGACTTTTTCTTTTCTCCTGACCAGACAGAGAGAGAATAAAGATTTTCAGAGTACAGGAAGGAAGGTACACGTCCCATACGAGGGCACTTACAGTGAGGGGGTAGGGGGGATATTTACAGTTGTAAAAGTATCTACGTACCTACTTGACGTCACAAGCCGCGTTAAAACAGGGCACATCTCGGTGAGTACTCAGTATAATGCCGAGGCCACAGTAATTACGTATGCATTCGTCACGTACGTTGTACGTTACACCGCGTAAAGTAAAAGTGTGGTGTCGTGTATTTTTTATCAATTTTTTTTATTTATTTTTTTTTAACGAGTGTACACAGTAAACTTGTGCATCGGGTGACTACACGATCGCCTGTGATTCAATTCACGTACGTGTACGTATACGTGTCTGTGCGTGTACGTGTGTGTACATGTGTGTATGAGGGGGGGGAAGGGGCGGTAAAAACGAAACAACGGAGTCTATATAAGGGCGAGGAAATGAAGGGAGTAACATCACGTTGCTTGCATGTGAGTTCGTCTCATTGTTCGTCAAGCATATCGTATATACACATATGTACACGAGAGTATCTGCATCCGGTTTCTCTCTACGTATAGGAGCATTCGTATCTAGAATAGATACCCCTCGAGGGCAGCCTCCGTCTGTTTTTGTAACTTCGGTTTGCAAAGAATACGCGCAGGATCTTATTCGAGGGTAGTTTGCGAATCGAAAGCTTTTCTCTAGAACATTGCAGTGAAACGTAATATGAATCTCATTCTTTTCGTTTACCATTAAAGTGCAGGACTGTGTGATCGCGTGCTTCTTGTCTTTTTCGATAAAGCCGTGTCTATTACGCGCCATTGCGCAATGAGAACAACGAAACTCTAAAATGTTCTATAAGCTGCGATCGTTGCAAATACTACGGTGACAAATATTGCGGCGGTTTAATCGTTTATCAGATGGACAGATTGCACTATGTAAATACGTGGAAGAACGGGGGAGCCAAGGAGGCTTGGTTGCGAAACTCAAGAAAACGTGACGTCAACATGTCTACCACTGTGTTTGCACAACTGAATCAAACGAAAGTCGAAGCGAAAGACAAGTGGAAAATGCAAAAGTGGTGAAGAATGCGAGAGAATAGTGGGGGGACCCCGTTACGAAACTACGCTTACATAAAGAGAGCCAGCGGCAAATATATTTTACATCTCGGACAAAATGTTCGCGTAAGAGCCTTCAAGGCAGCGACTGAAAAAATTCAGTAGCGACTGTTAAAAATTAACAACGTTAATTATCTCGAAGCCGTTTTAGTTATGAAATCGTTTCGCGGTATTTTCATGTCGAATTCGTAACGAGTCGAGGGGAGAGAGAAAGAGAGAACAAGAGAAAGAGAGCGAGAAAGAGACAGAATGAAGCCACACAACGGAGGAAGTTAACGAAAATTAGGAGTGGAAAACGTAGCGGTAGTAACGAAAAAAATACTGACCTCTGTAAGCCTTTGTTAATGGCAAGCATGGCCTTGCCAGTGCTAAAACAAAACACAAAAAGAACAACGTAAGAAGAGAGATACTCCGGGATCGAGCCAAAGTCGGGGGATAAGTCGGGCGCTCCCTGTGTATTTCATTTTCTACCCTCTACGTAGCGGTGCGCTGTTACCCCGAATGGGACGCAACGTGGGGGGACGTAACGCAGGACTTGGGGCCAGTTTCACCAAATGTTGCTCAACTTCAATCCGAGTTCAATTCGCGTTTGTCTCTTTCTAGAACAACAGTTGGAAAGAGACAAAGAACAAATTAAGCCAAGCCTTTAAGAGAACGTTGGTGAAACCGGGCCTTAGAGAAGCGAAGTCCGATGTGTCCATGTCAATCTAACATTAATATCGCGAGCGAAAGAGACAATCATTATTTCCATCATTTAACGCAATTTCGAACAACTTAAACATTTACGTCGGATATTAGAGAGCGAGTTATTTAAATAATACGCCGGCATACAAATTTGCAAGATTAATTTGCCGGGGCGTAAAATCGACATGGAATTCATCTTTCGTGTGACCAGTTCGGTTCTCTATTAGGGGAGAGGAAGCCAAGGGATTATGTCGCAATGGGATAAGTGCTGTTTAGGTCAGACTGTGACCGTATTTTCCAAACGACGACGCCAAAACGTAACACGATAAACTCGATGCCGTTAAAAGTCTCGAGCTTTTTTAGTTACACTTGCAAATAAAAGTTATCACAGAAATTCGAATATTAGAGATTGTTAAGAGAAAAAAAAATTCGATTTCAAGTATAATAATTACACTTCTTTTTTGTAAATATTGCAAGAGACAAGCTGATTATTCTGCTCGGATCTAAAGTCGTGGACAGTGTCTTGTCGTCTGAAATTTCGTTTAACGTTGACAGACCGATTCAACTGCTGTACGAGCTATATCCTTCCGCTCTGCTGGAAGGGAAAATGAAACAACGAGAGACAAAGCAACAGCAAAGCACAGCAGAACTCGCGGTTAACACTTTGCATTTATTGAAAGCAACCGAACGATCAATGTCTGCGACGAGTCTCGTGGAGAATTTCGATAGTTTTATGACTCGAATCTAGACACGGAATTCTGACACGTTGCCATCAATGAAGATGTACAAGTGCGTGTATCGTCTCCTACGCACTAGAGCGACAATTTGCAAATGTATGTACTACGTAGATATCGCTCTCGATAGCGAGCATCGTGACTTATGCATTATACGGGAGGCTCGAAACGAAAGAGAGATGACGAGTTGTTGAGTGTCGGTGGTCCTTAATTCTGATATTTGTCGTCAAGCGTCTGAATGATCGAAAAGATTTCTACGATGACTTCATGGTACAACTTGCCCGGGTGAAATATTGCGCGCGTGACGGCAGATATCGATGCAAGGCTATTGTGTACGTTTCGCTCCTCCGTGTTTCGAGAATGGCCAAAGATCAGCTTACGTTTTCGAATCAGACTCGTGCATTATTCCGTTTATTTTTTTGCATTCGATCGAGTCGTGTGGATAATGCACGTCTGTCTCGTGGGACTTACTGATCGCTGGCCTTGAAGATGAGAATGAAAAAAAAAACGGGGGGAAAAGTAGTATAAAAATCAAGAGTCCACGTAAACGATGAAAGAAACGCAAAGGCGAGTGCAAATGGAGGAGGATCAGCCAACGTTTTCTTCTTTGCTTCTTTTTATTATACGCGAAATTACATAGAATGCTATCGAACACAGATTTATTATTTGGTAAGGTCATGGAGCCTTTCGATCGACCTTGACAGGTTGTTTCGTCGATATGCAAGTTTAATACAGCCGCATCGATTGCGTCACGGAAAGACCTTTCTAAACAGAGCTAACGCGGCATTTTCTCTGTAGATCGTTCGCGCTCCGAAACACTTTCCGCGAATCTTTATTCGCTCACGTTAACGTTGCAATCATAAGCTGAAAATGAGAAATGGCACTATATTTTTCAAATAAATCGGAATCTACACTTTTCAAATGATTCGGAGAACAAAGATTGAGCTATATTCTCTTAGCAAACGCCGTCACTGGCCGTTCCCCTTCTTGTAACCAAGTCGAGAATGTGAAAAGTACCGTACCCGAAAGTCTCGTCGTGTAAGTAACACAAAGATTTAAGCCATGATCCCCGAAAGTAACAGAGCGTGCACAGTCACAATGTAAAATAAAAGGACAGACACGTTAGTGCAATACATAGTTTAAGTTTTTAGAACTGGATGGTGTAGAAGGAGGAGCTTTTGTGCCGAACAACTTCGATAAATGCGGAGGTAACGATAACTGTCTGCGATCGACCGATCGATCGACATGGATAGCCAGGTCGGCAAAAATATGTGCTCATTTTGCTAAACTGATTACTGTCACTTTTAATAAAATGTCTCCCCGCTTTTTCAAACCGCGCTATCTACGTGAGATTTTTCAAGCCGCAATAACGAGGCGTAACATTGTACACGGGACCGCGTATCTTCCGTGAGGAAAGTTATTTTCTCACGGATTAAAAATAAAAAAAAACCATGCCGTTTTGTGGCACTAAGAGAATGATAATAATAAGAAGATATCATTAAAATAGCAAAGTCCCATATTTATACATGAACAATCGATCGATCCAATCGAGTATTCGTGTTTGCGCGGTGTCTATTGTGTACGTGTCTGCGTGTATGTGTGTGTCAAAAGAGAGAAAATAGAAGGAAGAAGAGTAATATATGCTAGATAGAGTCAGAGATAGTTCTTAGACAGAAAAGTAAGGAGATAAACGGGGATAATCGAATAGATAGACGGACGAGTAAGGAGAGATCGATGGATGAGCAGAGAAGTGACTCGGTAAAGAGAAAGAGAGAGAGAGAGAGAGAGCTCGAATCGGCTAAAGAATTATCCGGTAAATAAATTGACAGAGAAACAGAGGAAAGAACGGAAAGAAAGGCGGGGGTGGGCAAAACGGTGCGCGGCAGTCGCGGTGTTCAGTCGGCGAGTACTGGAGCGCGTCCAGGAAACCGCGTGAACAGCCGCGACGAGCCGCGATACGGTCCGCGCGACACCCCTCCGAAACTGTCTAACGGAAAGCCGTGATAGTGAAGCGGAAAGACAGAGAGAAGAGACAGAGCGGAGACGAAGAAGAGTTAGAAGAAAGATAGTGAAAATCCTTGGGTAGAGCGAGTAGAGGCGAGTAGGTACCTGGATAGTGGCGACAGTGGAATGTACCTGAAGCGGCCGGTCGGATGGTGGATCGGCCCGCCGAAGCGCCGCGTGGCCTGCGGGGCGAGATAGGCGGCCAACGGCGGTATCGCCTTGTTGTTGTTGCTGGGATTGTTGGCGAACTTGACGGTGATCGGCTCGGACGAGCCCTTCGGTATGGTGCCGTTCAGCTCTTGGATCGCCCGCTCGGCCTCGACGCGCTGGTCGAACCTTATGAAGCCGACGCCCTTCGACAGGCCTGCCGAGGAGGTGCCGAGATAAACGGCAGGAACACACAAGAATCGCATCTGGTTATTGCTACTGACTCGCGACTCGCTTAGCGTCCGCCGACATCGGCGCCGGACGCTCTGCTTCCGGCCGGGATCTCTGGATGTTCCCGTGCCTTTTCCCTCCCGTTTCTCCCTTAGCCTCGCGTAAGAGAGAAACGTCGCGCACGAGCCCACGGCAAAAAAAAACAAACTCGAAATTAATTTGGAGGACTTTGGATCGTGCCGCGATTACGTTACCTGCGCGTTTCTCATTGTCTTACTGTACTGCCTCCTCGTTACTCGATTCGTTAATTGTCAATGAGCCTTTAGCTAGGCTCTCTCGGCCAGTTAACGGTCCCGATAACGTGTCGAGTGATCGCTCAACTGCGCTTATCGTTAGATCATAGAATGCGTGCGGAACAATTCACATTTCACATATATACTATATATCTCTCGGTGCACTACGTTCAGGTATCGTCGAGAGCGGCGACAAGTTGCGAGTCTCTCGTAACGACGGAAGGACGCGACTTTGAGTACACGCGCAAACTCGAGAACGCGCTGGACTTACTTTATTAGAGTTCTTTTTTTTTTACACAGAGACAAAGCGAGTGGTTCGGTGCGCGCAGATTCGTTTCTTTACAAGACACACCGACGATGCCTCGTCGGGTGGACGTCTTTTTGTCTTTCTTTCGATTCTCTACTTTACCATAGACGTTACTCGTCATTCGCGGTCTAGTGTCGATTGATAACGGGTAAACAGGAACGAAAAAGAGAAAGAGAAAGAAAGAAAGAGAGAGAGAGAGAGAGAGAAAGAGAGAAAGAGAAAGAGAAAAAGAGAGAAAATGAGATTTAAAGAAAAGTGATAGAGAAAGAGAGAGAGAGAGAGACAGAGCGAGTATATCTTCGCGGACACATGTCGATATAATTGCAAATCATAATCATAACGAATGACAAAAAGCGTAAAGAAACAAAAATGGCGCTCGGGAAAACACTGGATGCGCGCGCATCGTCTGTCATTGCGCGAGAGGCAGATACGCGACAATTTCTTTTCGCGTTTTCTCTCCTCGCACTCGATCGTTCGGAAATGAATTCAGATCAATTCTGGACCGAGTCGCAGTCGAGGCGTGTAAAAAAAAACAGAGAGAGAAACGCAGAACGTTTCGCGAAACGTTAAATCGCAATGCATCGAATGTTTCACCGAATTTCGGTCTCGCGCGACAATTTCGCGAAGCCGGATTTACACACGTCGCACAAATGTAGAATCACTTGGCCGAAAATCCCTCGCCGCTCGCCGCGAGTTGCAAATTAATTTTGACAAAACGTCGCCGCTAGCAAGAGCGGCCGCGGGCGGACTTTATCGAAGATGGCGTTCACTCGGCGCGATTACAAATCGATTTTCGATTCCGCGAGCGACACTCGATTACACCGCGGGGAAAACCGGCGCGGCGTTCGTACCGCTGCGTGGTGTTTTATTTAACAACGACGGCGATGACATTGACGAGGTATACATGGCTACACGTGAAAAAAAAAAACGAGGTCGCGCAGACGAGAGACGCGCGCGCGCGCATCGCAGAAATCGAAAGAAACGGCCTGGCTGTTCGTTTCAGCTAGAGGACGTAATGAGGGAAAAGAAAAAGAGATTTGTGATTTACGTACCGGGCAAATTGTCTCCGCCGCCGGTCACAAACTGTCGTACTAAACAGAAACGGAAAAAATCATATCTCGTTAAAATCCAAACTGGCAGCACACGCGATTCGCTCGCCCCTGTGATACGCCGGTGGTTTCGGGGGGGCGGGGGGGGGGGGAGATAAGACGTGTCTCGCGCGATAAGACGAAGCGATGGGGTTAACGAAAGAGAGAACACAACGGAAGCGAAGTCGAAGCAACGAGTTCGTCGGCGTTCGAACATTATCCGCAGAATTTGCCGCAATAGCGAGCTCGAGACTGTCTACGGGTGACAAGAATCTAGACCCGACGAGTTTACATTTAATGACACAGTGGGACACCGCGATCTCTGCGAATAGAAAAAAATAAATAAAATGATGCGCGCGACCGTGAAGCCAAAAGGTTTTGACAAAATCATGAGGGACCATACGTCAGCGACGCACGAAAGAAACGAATCCCCCTGATCTCGCTCGAACTGTGTCACTCGACGTTCGAATCATCGTTGGTGGATCGTTGCTTTCGCACTTGACGTTTCGCGCGGTAACGAGGAAATGATGTTGTTTTAAAGAGAACAAATGAACTGGGACTCGCGCGTATACAAGGGGCGAGCGGACTTCGTGTAGATTACGCTATTTCAGATCTCCTTAATCATATAAGAAGCGTGAGCGCCAAAGGGGGTAAAAATTCGGCGTACCGCGCGTGTTCACTTTTGCGGGAGTTGGGAGAAAGCGACGTTGGACGAACGTAAATCTCGGGGGGGGAGAGAACGAAGCAAGGGTCTGCTGGGTGACGGAACGATGGTGATGACGAGGCGTGACGCGGTGCCGGGAAGACGGGAGATGGGAGTGAAAAGTGAGCACGGTAAGGAGGTACGAAATTAAGATCGAGGTGGAGGCCATGAGGCTTTCGTGCGTGCGGTAACTGGGCTGGCCAGGGAGGGGCATTTGCAAGAAATAAACGCAAAAGACGCAAACGAAATCCAAACTCGGGGAGGTTCGTGGTCGACCAATAAAAGCGAGAGAGGGACACTTGCGCGCGACACCTCGGGCTGTCGTCGTTATTCGTCGTCGGTATGTCGCTCCCCCTCGAGAACAAAGTTGCGTGTATATGCGAAAAGCTGTAATACTCGTGAGATACTCGTTGCTCTTGGTGCTCTTCGAATGAGGAAAACGTGTGGAAGAGTGTGTACAGGCGAAAGAAAAATATAACCAAGTGAAAACTGATACGATCTCGTTCGCTCGACGGTAATACTCTATCAACGAGCTGCTCTTTACTCGCACCTCTGTTATCGTTATCGTTCGTGGCGCACCGACCCACCCTACAAACGGACTCTAACCCCATGGCCTACGCACCTGTGATCTGGATCAAGTCTTATTTCGAGCCACCGGAGATTTCCGATTTCGTCGCTGTCTTAAACATTAATGTTCTCTCGCACATCGATCTCATCGTATTGCGAGGACTCGTTTCGAGCGCGAGTAAAAATAAGTTGGACAAGTCGGATCGCCGGGTCGACTGGAAGAAACCGTATGAGGAAATGTTGCGAACGACGTGACGACCATTCGTCGGACTCTCGTCTCTAAGCGGTTACATTTCGCGTTGTCGGAAAAATTGACAAGCGGTCGGAAGTATCGTCGTGACGGAAAGCTCGCTCGAAGAAACTATGGAGACAGGCGTACTCTTTTGCGTCGACTTACCGGTAATGTTGTCGCACAGTATCCGCGACGTGATGATTCTGCCGTAAGGACTGAAGAGATTCTCCAGATCCTGCTGCGCCATGTTTTTCGGCAGGCCGCTCACGTACAGATTCGCGCCTTTGATCGCCTCGCTGCTCGGTCTCGCGTACGACACCTGGAAAGAGAAGCAGGAGATCGCGTTCGGAAAGAATATTCTCTTTTCGGTTTCCGACGTGTGTGCGGAAACGAGAGAGAGAGAGAGAGAGATCGGCGTCGCCCGAGGCGCTCGGCGTTTTATCCAACGGAAGTAAGAAAGAACGCAGCTAGGCGAAAAGAAACGTGCCCACGCGATAATCATCGCTTTATTCTTGTTCGCGCGCGATAAAATCCGCCCCGAATCCAGGCCAACCTATTTATATTGCCGCATTTACCGCCCTACACGCTCGCGTAGATGCATTTAGCATTCTAGAAATCGGATGGAAACGCTTTGCAAAATAGTCGGCTGGCGAAAATAGCCTATCGATTTCGAACAGCACCGACGGTGATTGCGCTGTATCGATCTTAATATCTGATCTCGATATACAGGGTGTTACGTAATACCCGCCTCACCTCTTATTCTACGGGTAGAGCGGGTTAGGCCGAGTCGACAAGTCCTCTACCATTTTGCAATTTTCGCAATAGTTAACGAGTTATTAATTATTAAAAATCGCCGCCTTAGCCCGGCCTTCCGCCCAATTCAGGCTCGCGGTGAGATGCGGCCGTCCCGCGATCGGCGTTGCTATATAGACGCGCGGGGAATTGTTTATCACACACGGCGCAAGGACTACGTGTAAAGGATCGTCTACAATAGATGAAGTAAGCTTGGCGTAAAAAGTAATAAGAGTAGAAGTAAAGAAATTAATCATTTCCATTTCTTACTCCTACTTCAGCTCTGGCGCATACTCTCGGCGAATTAGAGCGCAGTTCGACCAGTGCTACAAATATTTTAAAAATTATACCTGCACTCTAACTACTAAGACGGTCCTTAATATGGCTGATGGCAGACAACCATTCGTAAGCGCTTACGGCTTAAGTTTTTCTCTGCCTTACCGTAAGTTTACGGCTTACGGAAGTCCGTAAGCGCTTACGGATGGTTGTCTGCCTTCAGCCTAAACAACTTTCCGCGCGCCTAGCAACGCCGATTGCGGGACAGCCGCATCTCGCAGCGCGCTTGAATTGGGCGGGCCAAGACAGCGATTTTTAATAATTAATAATTCGTTAACTATTGCAAAAATTGCCAAATGGTAGAGGACTTTTCGACTCAATCTAGTCCGCTCTATCCGTGAATAAGAGGTGAGGCGGGTATTACATAACACCCTGTATATCTCTTCCGTGTCACGGATCGCAAAGAATAACGGTGTGATCCGTGATCTCTCGAGAAATATCATTGGCTCGTGGCCCGTTTCTACCAACGCAGATTAACTTGAATCTCGATTCAACTCACTTCATATCTTCTTTCAGGTTTAAAAGATACAATATATCACATTAAAGTTGATTCGCGGTGGGTAGAAACGGGCATTAATCGTGGAAGGTAAAATTTACGGTGTTGCGTCGTTACGGGGATCGCAAAGGGGGAAACGAACGACGAGCAAAGATAAACCCAACAACTGGCATTGCAAGCTACTCACCTTGATGGTTTTGTTCTGTAAACGAAGACCATTGAGCGTGTTTATAGCCTTTTCGGCATCTTCAGGCCGGTGATAGTTGACGAAACCGTAACCCAAACTCTGACCTGCAAGCAGAGACGCGCGGCTCGATGAATATCGCGAGTCCATGTTAGATTTATCTGCGGAAGCTGGATCAACCGCGAGTCCACGTTAGATTTATCTGCGGAAGCTGGATCGACCGCGAGTCACGTCGTACGTAGTTTGCGACTAAGGAGCGATCGACACGGTTTTTTTCCGGCCGCCGACGACGTTTCGCTGGCTTTTGCTCCTGATTAAACATCTCTGCCCGGAGCTACCAACGAGGTTTGTTTATATCTGCACGTTTATCAACTAGACTGGAATAATCGCATCGAAGTTGAACGTGCAGCGCAATGCCAACTTTAGTTTCCCCGATACGCTTCGGAATCAATTTTATGAATGGCGTAGTGGCAAATATATCAACGAGTTGTTGGCGAAATGCCTGAAGCATCGGAACAGCAAGGACATACGAATAAATTATTTTTCGTCTCAACTGAGGAAACGGTGTGTCAGACTCTCTCGCGATTCTCGAACGTTTTGACACGAAAACGGTGGAGAAGTTAATTTGATTATTACACTAGGCCTCACTGATGCCTTTCCATGTGGATTTGTAAACATTTTTACATTTTGCATATAATACACGGGAAATTGTGTGTTCCATATGTGCCTGAAGTCATGGAAAGGCATCAGTATACTATTCTGCCGTCCTAACCTAAAAAGCAGTATCTCCATTTTCGGGCCATTGTAGTTAACTCACTTTTTATGTTTCTTAGAGAAATATCCGTTGTCATACAAGGTTAGAAAGCAGTAAGAGCACTAGATTAACATAAAATCTAGTGTTCTTACTGCTTTCTAGCCTTGTAGGACAGGACTAAGAAACATAGAAAGTGAGTTAAGGGGATGCTGGAGTGATTTTGCACTTTTGCACCTTTCTAACCTAAAAACTGTCAGTTCGCGGAAACATTTGTGTAATATACAAATGAAATGGCTTACGTGTACAGATCGAAAGCAGCTTGCTATTCCGGCCAAATGAAAGAACAATATGGCATCATTGAAACTAAGTTTGTAAGTCTAATAAAAAATAATAGTGAGCAACACATACATACAGTACATGTAGTATGTGTGTTGCTCACTATTATTTTTTATTAGACTTACAAACTTAGTTTCAGTGATGTCATATTGTTCTTTAATTTAGCCGGAATAGCAAGCTGCTTTCGATCATCTGTACACGTGCCATTTAATTTGTGTATTACACAAATCTTTCCGCGAAACAGTTTTAAGTGCAAAAGGTGCGAAAGTGCAGAATCACTCCAGCATCCCCTTAACTACAATGGCCAAAAATGGAGATGCTGCTTTTTAGGTTAGGACGACAGTATTTTAGTCGTCACTCTTTGTTAACGTCAAATTTAGAAAAACTTTGTAGCGCATAAATTCAAGCCTCTTCGCGCACGTCTTCAACGTAATCTAATGAAGAGGAAGAGGCACCGAAAGCGTAATTACGGGTTTTCGACGGAACGAGGGAAAAATTGCGCCAAATAATGACTACGCGCTTATCGTCGCGTGGTGACGAGCGACGTGATACGCTACTGTCACTCTGCGGCGATGAGGTCGAGCATAAAGCGGCAAATCTTCAAACCAAACGCCGCCCCCGCGCTCGCTCTTCGCGGCGGCTCGAAATAGCGCCGCGACGTCTATACACGTGCTCGTCTCGCCGCTACTGCAACGGAATATACCCTGCGCACACGTACGCCGAATTACGGCTAGATTACGCGCGTACTCGGTGTATTACAGCGACACGGGCGAGTTACGCGAAATGCCATGGTCGCAACCGGAGACTTTGTTTATGCAAAATGCCAATTCCCAGCAAAATATTGGAACATTGAGCCGCTCGTAAGCCAAATTGATCAACTCGGTAAAACGAAAAGTTGAGAAAAGTTGATAAACAAAGTTAGCAAGTTGTGTTAAAATTGAGAAGAAATTTATCGACAAGTAGAATTGATTAGTTTGACGTCTGAGGGACTTGCGCTTGTGTGCGACTGAAGAAAAGCAAATCTGCGAACAATTATTTTTAAGAAATCACGGTTTTCACTTTTCTCGTCAAGATCTTTTTTTAACGTGATTTTTCTATCATTGACTGTTAATCTACGCTTAATCAAACGAACTTGAATCAAGCGGAACAAAACTGCGTTGGATATAAAATCATAACACGATTATTATTCGAGTTAATTGTCTCCGACGCAAATCCAGCTTTCGAGATTTCACTGTCTCTAATATCGCATCGCGTTTCGTAATCCGAAATTCGCAATTCGTGCAGTTTCGAAACTAGATTTCAACGTCATCAAAGGTGTGTCTTCCCGAGTGGTGCCGCCAGATACAATTGAAACGGACGGGCTCATCGCGCTGACTCGGATCTGATACCCGTTCTACACCTAGGGATGATCCTACTTGTGGCTCATCCGAGTAAAGAAGTTTACACTGGCATTTTAGTATGACTATCCTACTAAGTATGGTTTCTGTATGATTTAACTATGATTTTTAACCGTCTTCTTATGTAGAAATAGCACCAGAGTTCATGAACGGTCTCAGTACGACGATCTTTGTTCATTTATTCACTCACTCGGATGAGCCACAAGTAGGATCATCCCTAGGTGTAAAACGGACATAAGCGCTTAACAAGAAAGCAGAGCCCTGGCGAGAATAATATGTTTGTTGAAAGTTTATAAAGGTAATTATTTAGATTTATATACCCCCCTCCAATAAATTTGGGCTTGACGTATATTATAGAGGTCACCCTCCTGAGTGATCTGCAAAAGGTTTTAGCCTGCGGACGTTGTTTGTTAAAAAAGTTATTTACAAAACAATGTCGATGAATTATATGTAATTATATGTAATATCTCATTAAATATTAAAAATTTTGTAAAAGGTTTCAAACAAAAGTTGTAGATCTCTTCGAAATATGCATTTTATGCCCTATTCATTTTTACTGTACGTGTGGTAGTTTTTGAGAAAAATGATGGACTCTAAATCTTATATCTGTCCTCCCATCTAATTGTAAGCATGTACTTTGCAGTACATATACGATTCCACATGGGTGTGCAACTTTCTACGTGAAATGAGATTCACTCCACACCTCAGACATGGTTTGGGTAAGGTTGTATCTTAACGAAGTGAAGCCTCCCCGAAGGGGGGGGGGGGCGGAACATACTGTCTCCACGCATGTACTTCCACCGTTGTACTGTTCCACATGTCTGAGGTGTGGAGTGGACCTCGCTTCACGTGGAAAGCTGCTTGCGGGAAAGAAGAGTTATTCGTGGTCAATGGGTATGGGTCGGCGGATATGAACGCGATATCCACGCGAAGCGACAACACCCCACACCGACCCCTGCTTTCAGGGCGAAACTAGATCCACCCGTTCGACTTCCACGCGAAAATGCTAATAAGCATTAATAAACATTGAAATGCCCTGACAGCAGGTCAACATAGCAACTTACTATTCCTATATACACGTTGTCCGATAATTACGTACATTTCATATTTAATAACTTCTTAACAACGTCCGCAGGCTAAAACTTTTTGCATGTCACTCAGGAGGGTTACCTCTATAATATATGCCAAGCCCAAGGTTTTTGGAGGGGGGTATGTTAATCTAAATAATTACCTCTCTCACTTAAAATTTTCACCAGAGAGAAAGGATGCGACGGGCGTCGCCGAACTTACCGCTGAGCTTATCACGGATTAGCTTGCAGCTCTCGACTTCGCCTATACTGGAGAACAGAGAACGAATCTCATCCTGCGTCATGCTCTGCGGCAGGTAGTTTACTATGAGATTTGTCTTCGACTCTTCCTGCGAGGTCTGTCCGAGGGTGGATCCTCCGTTTTGTTGTACGACTGTGTCCATTCCGTTCGCCATCATTGCAATCCTCTAACGAGTCGTCCCTAACTATGTACGAAATCTGCAAGCAAAACAGATACACCGTCACGTTAGACCGTGGCCCAGACTATCGGTGAACAATTGCAATCACCGCGCTATAATAACGGATCGTTTGTATCAGAGAACTTCTATTGTTCCGTCTTGTTAAAATTAGATACAGTGCGGGATTCTTGGACAACTATGGTATCGCGCGGGGTCTGCGTATTTTCCCAAGACGTTAAAATATACTTGTGGAAGTTTCACTTTGAAAATACAGCAAGCGCGAGCCGTGTCGCAGGGCGATGGAAGTGAGTAGACGCGGGGTACCGATGTAAACACGAGATATCGAAGAACGTAATAAAAACGCGCAATAGCCAAAACAACGATATGCACAAAACGTTCGTTTGGCCGTGGAAAATTCAAATCCAAGTGGCCTCGTGTTTTTGTACGGCCTGTAACGCGAATTCGGTGAAAGAACGAACGTAAGTTAAACACGGGAGGCGGTTTTGTTGTCTAAAGCCAAAGCGAATTTTTATTTTGGCTTAACTACAAAAAGTAACGCGTCAATTATGAAATTGTGTAATACACGTGCGCGCGTAAACGAATTATATTGTAATCTACGGTCGTTAAAAAATTGCTTCGCTGAGGCCCGTATCGGTTCACTAAACCTGAGATTAGTAAATTTTACCTTGATTAGAGGAAATCTTATAATTCGAAGTAATTAAAAACTTCAGATTACTTTTCACAAGTAAAAAGGACCACGAACCATGAACGTTGCGAGTTTAAACATAAAAATTTGCCAGACATGGTCAAGTAATCTCTGAAGTTTTTACCTCGATTTGGTCAAATTTCAATATCAATCCGTAGCCTGATACAGGCGGCTTCATACCCATTTCCACCAATGCAGATCAACTTTAATCTCGATTTAACTCGCTCTTTATCTTTTTCTAATTTTTGAAACTAGAAAAGGGTAAAAAGTAATTAAACCGGGATTAAAATTTAATCCGCATTGGTAGAACCGGGCATTATTCAGATAAACTTTGTTTATCGCAGATGTGCTTTGTATTAGGTGTTAGATCAAAGCGGATACTGCCGACGAGGAAATCCAAAAAGACCACGTAAAAAAAATATGTAATGCTCGGGACTCTATCATGTAAATCTGAACAATGACTTTCCAAATGCAGCACGAAAGGGGACTAGCCGGCGGTTTGGGAGAACCGTGGGGTAACGTCCTATACACGAACTCGGGTAATTTAAAGGGGCCGACGACCCCCGTTGTCATTTAAAGGGCTGGAGACCCTCTCATCTCCAAACTGCGGAGGCACACCGCGCGTTGTATAAGCCTACATACGCGGTGTCCGTAGCGAAAGGCACACCAGTTGTTCCATCGAGATATTCGTTAGATATTTATAGCTTTCTAACATCGACAGCTTTTTGGCGATGAAAGTTCAACTGGACCCGACAAATTAGCCGATGCGACGGCGAGAAGTGGCGCTCGGGATCATCAATTTCGATCAACAGCATTTCTTTGCGCGTCGGCGTGGAAGATAAGAGGAAGAAACGCTCCCTGAAGTACTCGTTCGCCGGCACGAATTATAAATTCGAGCCAGCAGCCGACTTCATTATCGTCTAAGCGACGAGGCCATCAACTCCGAGTTATATTCATAATTGAAAACGACACTAAGATCTCACGGCAAAGTTACATTAACGAGAAAACGTCGAGACCAATTTGCCTTTATTGAAACGTATCTCCTTACAGCCATTTAATTTTCAATTACCCGCGCGGGGTCTTCGGGACCCCGCTCACTTTTTAACTTTGTATATAATACTTAAGAGAGGCAACATATTTACAAGAAAATAACCAGGTGACATTAAGCTCATCTCTTTCCTTCAGATCGTATAATTACACAAATTTAAAAAGTGAGAGTGGAGTCTCAAACACAATTAACCTTTAAGTCCGTATCAGACTACGGATTGGGATTGGGATTAGATTGAAATTTAACTAATCACAGTAAAGTTTACTAATCTCAAGTTCAGTAACTTTTACTCTGATTGGTCAAATTTCAATCTAATCCCAATCCGTAGTCTGATACGGGCTTTAGAGGGCTGGAGCGGCCACTACAGTGGCCAGGAGCACACTTGGAAACTTTGCGGAACATGTGTAGATCACATATGTGCATAAATTTTCTGTTTAAAAAAATTACAAATTTCAATGGAAAAATGCCGGCCCTCTACAGGTTAAAAATTACTTCCGATCAACTCCCGACGAAATAACTCGAGGAGACTCTCCACGAGGCAAATTCGGAGCCGAAGGCAGCAGCGTATCGGGAAACGAGTTCTCGAATGCGGGACCGGCTGCGAGAGCGATCCGGCGAACTCTCGCGCGGAGCACCCGGTACACGCGCCAGAGCGCAAAGGGAGAAACAGGAGCGAGAGAGGGAGAGACAAGGGCAGAGCGAGGAAGGGGAATTACGCGCGGCGGCTGCCGTGGGGTGCCAACCGCGGTGTTCACGGTTAAGGCGAGTACACACACGCGCGCGCGCGGCCATACGACGCGTTTATCAGTCGGCACGAGCCACCGGCTCGTACATTTTTATTCCCCCCTCCCCTGTCTTTTTTTTCTACGTGCGCTCCCCTCTCGCCACGCGCGCGTCCGCTCTCTCCCTTTTTCCCTCCTACGTTCGGGGCATCAGCTGTCCCTCGGAACCTTCCCCGCCGGCTCGCGGTGGTCGCCACCCTAAAAACCGAGCTGTCCGCGATGCCGCGGGGTAACAGACAGCTTTTATTACGGCTGCCCCCCTCCCCGAGTTTCCGAAACGGATTGGACGGTGTACGTATAATACACACGGCGTTATTAATGCCTAGCCGTCCGAAGTTGCGCGCGGATCGAGGCACTTTTGAAAAGCGTGCGACTCTCGAACTCTTCGTGCATCGTGACTATGGAAACGGCGTATCAGCGTTGCCGGTTTCGTTACAGCATGCACGGTTTCACCAAACGTCGCTTGACTTCAGACGTTTGGTGAAACCGTGCCTAAAGCCCGTATCAGACTGCGGATCGAGATCGGGATTCAAATTTGACCAATCGCAGTAAAGTTTACTAATCTCAATTTTAGTGACATTTACTCCAATTGGTCAAATTTCAATCCAATCTCAAACCGTAGTCTGATACGGGCTTATGCATGCCGTAACGTCGATGCCGTTACTAGGCGGTACGCAATGACGCTCCAGCGTAGGGCGCAAAATTTGGAGGAGTGGGCGAGCGAGTCCCGGCGTAAGGGCGCTTAAGCATGTTGTAACGTCACAGACTATCAGACTTCTATAGAAGCTGTGTGAACTGCAGCCTGAAACTCATCCATGTATAGATGGGAATAAAAATTATGAAAATATAGACCCTAGTGAAACTGAGGTCCAGGCATTAATGAATAAAACCCAGCTCTTCAGTTTCTGCACGGAGAGACCGATATGGTTGGCACAACCCCAATAAATAGTAATATTTGGGACAGCTATATCTGTGTGGTTGTCATACCTACACTGAGAAAAAAGTCTAGTAATAATTACCAAATGCATTTAGTTCAGCGTTTT